TTATACCAGATTTCCAATATGCCGGAGAATGGAAGATTATGATTAATCACCAGCTATACCCCATTATTAGTGTTTCATGGGTACTCAAAAGAAATCTTATCCTGAGGTTAACTGTGAAGAATTGATTTGATATTTGAACTGTTCAAGGAACAAAGACATTTCTCCTAGCCTGAAGCACAAGTTCAAATAAGCAGAAATAAATATGCAAAAATATTCTTGTCTTGGTTTTCAAATTTAAACAGGAGCAGACAGCTCTGCTATATTTGCAGATTGTAACTACAAAAAGTAAATGCTTCTAGGAGTGTTTTCTGGAAGAAGATGCATGAAAATGAACCTGCTCTCAGCCTGCAATTGTTGGTTTTTGACACCACTTATAGGAACAAAGTATTATGATTATTGCTATCACTGTACAATGCATTATTGAGATATGATGCTTTGAAAGACTTACATGTGAAAAAATGTACATCACTGCCAAGGGCTCCATCCTTTCTGGTACTCAGCTTTCAAACTTTGCCTTAATTCAGTGCAATGAGCACCTTGTAGGATATGCCCAGCCTCTGTTATGATACAACCAATGCAAATATGGTGCAAACTCATTCCTGTGTTGCAGTAGTTTCCTATGAAGTGTGAAAGAGTGACTGACAGAACATGCTGCCATGTTAAACTACAGTTTACCTTCAAATGGCCCTACAAAAAGCTTCTAAGTCCCCTTGACTTCACTTCTGGACAGCTACAGATCAAATAAAAGCAAATGCAATATTGGCAGTGTTACAGTGGGGGACACTGCACCGGCAAATAATTCTGGGTCTGGGTTTCAAGCTGTCACCTGGCTGAGGCCATGCACAAGATCACAGCAAATGTGAAAACAGGACTTGAAGTGAGCCCACACACTTTCAACCCCAATGGAAGCTGACAATCAGAAGGAAAGGTGAATGATATGGTGCATTCTCTACTTCTTGCATTCGACAGATCAAAAACAAGTGTCTTCCTGGGACCATGCTTTTGGCAAACATGTCACAGAGTTCTGTATGGGGACAACTGTGAAACACAGACTCTTGATATAGCCTGGACAGATGAGATGGTGTGAAATCTCCCTCCAGTTACGAACTATGAATTGAGGAAACACAAATTGTCTATGGATATCCCAGATATCTGAATGGCCACTTGAGATGACATGTGCCTTAATTTGCATGTGTAGTCTTTACAACTACACATTCAAATTAGGCAAGCAATTTCACCTGCATTTTTGCACATGGCCTAGTTTTCTTCAGGGTTTGAAAATCAGCCCCAGCATGTTTTATTATATCAATTACTGGAATCTAAGGACATTTTCATGCAGCTTTGCTTTCTCCTCACCAGCTTCATTCTGTATCTCACAGTGTATCTCAGGCTAGACTCAACTGGTGAACCAGAGCTGGCTCACTTTCTGATACATGGTAATGTTAATTCTCCATCTTGTCATGAGTGTTGTGTAGATGAATTGAATCTGTGGCAGGGGTCTAGCCAAACCCAGCTCACTACAGGCTTGGAATCAGACAAGCTGGCCTGGTAACTGGAATGAGAAGGAGAGGAAAGGATTTACTAGAGAGGGAGAAGTGTGAAAGGAGGAATTGTTTAGTTTCACAATATTATCAGTATTACAGACTTTTTTTTTTTTTTTATGGCTTACTTTTCGAGAAGCCACCGGAAGACATATTCCCAAACCTTTTGCTACAGTAATTGTATAACGACAATCAGTATTATCCTATGAAATGCAGCTTTTGATTTGGAATGGCCAACCAATTCCTTACAGCATGGTCTGCAACTTGTACAAAATGGTCCTATTACATGATGAAGGACGTGAGATATGATGATGTTATACATCAATATGTATATAAGTATTTTTATATAGACTTCTAGAATACTGCCAAAACATTTATGACAGCTATATCACTGCCTTTGTTTATATTTTTTTTACTGTGATATATTCCACAGGCACGTTAACTGTTGCACTTTGAATGTCCAAAAGTTATATTTTAGAATAATAAAAAAAGAAGTGTTTCCAAAATGATGGCTGTTGTGAAATGTTTGAAGAAAGGCAAACTGGCCTGAGTGATGGTAGGCACAAAATGTATTTCAAAAATGCCCCTGTTGATATTTTGTCTTTGAAAAAAATCTTGTAAATTAAGATCTCTATATTTCAATAAATGATATATAATTTAAGGATATGTGAGGGGTCTATACTCACTTATTGAAAGATGGTTATAAAGAATCTGTCTTGCTCAGGGATTTTTTCCCTCAAGAGGTCTTTGAGCTCTCTGTGAAGCCATCGATCAGTAATGACAGCCACATCTCCGAGCCCTTCCAGTGGGCATAGTGAGGGAGTGAGGGCAGCAAATGACCAGGATACCAAGTGACATCTGTGGGGAGTCATATTAGCTCCCAAAACACAGCAGGTATGGTGCTCCAGCACTGGCTGGGTGGGTGGGTGGGTGAGTGGGTGGGCACTGGGCTCCCTGCACACGATGAAACCCTTGGCCTTGGCGCCATGTGTGCTGGGGGGCTGATGCCTGCTGGTCTGCACACACCCAGGAAAGGCCCCTGGCTACAGGGTTTTTTGAATTTGTGCTGAACTTGCCACCATTGTGAGTCTCACCAAATTTTTATTATGGTTTTGTGCTCCCACGGTAATCAGTTTTACACAGCGTATGTAACTGAATGTGAATTTGAGAAGATTTGCAAGACTTCAGCCTAAAATCAGAGTTAAACTTGGCAGCTGCACTTCCTGCATGAAAGCCTGTCTTGGTTTTGCAGTGGGAGCCAGGCAAGGCTGGCTGTGGGAATGCCTGTGAATGGGTAGGTTAGCAACCTTCTGTCCTCGGCGTGGTCACTGTTCTTGCTGGGAACGTGCTGGGAGATGAAATCTCCATCTACCATATCCCCCTCCTCATTCAAATGGGGCGCAGCATCCTGGGCCGTCACCTTAGATAGGAGTTACTGTAGGTTGTCTCTCTTTTGTGTGTCCTGGCTGAAAGGAGTCTTTATCCTGTAGCCCCGCACAGACACACACCACTTCCTGTCACCACAGGGGACAGGAAAGAGCCCTGGAAGCGCTTGTGTCCTTACATCCTGCTGGGCTGTGCACCTGCTCTGCCGGCAGCTCAGCAGCTGTGTGGGACAGAAGGACCAAGGAATCCTCATTTCTGCTGTGTGGGGAAAAGGGTGGGGGCCCTGGAATCTCCCTCTGTGCAAGAGCCTGGCTACAGAGCATCCTCCCAAGCACAGGGCATGGCTGTGTGTGCCTGTGAGCACATTTGTCCATGCTGGGGAGTGTGGATAGTGAGTTTCTCACCTTCTTTCTGAAGTAGACCCATTTTGGGCAAAATTCTGTCTCCTTGCTCCCCAAGACTGGGGGTCTGACATGTGTTCCATACATCCTCTCGCTCTCTGTCTCAAGGCCTCAGCAAGTATTTGGCTGGAAATGTGCTGAGGGCATGGAATGGCACAAGGCAGAGGCAGTCTGCCCAGGAAACAGGAGCTGTGAGAGAGCAGCACGGTACCAGGATCCAAGAAGGGCAGGCTTCTAGCCAGGATGATAGGAAGAGAATTACTTTAGGTTATGCAGGTAAAAAGATTTTTGGCTAAGTTGTATTGCTATGAGTGGAAAAAGCAGCAGGTTCATGAGCCAGAAAGAAGCTATCCAGCCACCTTGAGGTGCTCGCCATGGCTGTGGAAACCTGGGGCATGGTGCCTTTGCACCTGTCTCAGCAAGATCACTGTGTCCCATCAACTTATCCCCATTGTCAGACGCTGTGTGGTATGGGAGCTGTGTACTGGCATGGCCCCCAGGAAAATGAAAGGGAAACAAAGATGATGTAGGCTCAAAAACAAAGGAGAGAGAAAGTCACCTCATGGATCTGGGCTAGCTCATGAAGCAGAAGCCCATACACTGCTGGAGCCCCATCACTGCTGCCTCCAGCAAGGTGAGGGGTGGGGCTCAGCACTCAGCACATGGCTTGTCCTCCTCACCCCATCCCTCTCCTGCACCCCTTGGCACTGCAGCTCATAAGAGACCAAAACAGAGTGTGTGGCAGAGGAGGCACCAGCCCCTTCCTCTGCTGGCAGTGATGTTCAGTGCTTTTCAAAGGGAAAACCTAACTTCCAACCCTAATTTATTCCCATCCAAACAACTGGAGGTAAGGATTAGAACCACCTCTAAAATTCCAATGTTGCCTTCATTTGTTAATAATAACTTTACTGAAATAAAGACCCAATTTCTTTCTTTTCCAAGTTGGCCACAAGATGGAAGCAACAGACAAAAATATGTGAAATTATTCTTTTCCTCATCCTTTCTGTTTTTACTTGCACAGCAACACAGATGTACTGCCACTGCAGAGGCAGAGCAGCTGGAGCTCTTAAAGCAATAGGAGGAACACACAGTGTCCATCAGCTCCAGCTGTTTTTTTGGAAGAACTTTGAACCTATTGTGATAACTGTAGATTTTTACAGGATGAGACTGGCAATTGCCTTGCTATCCCTGATAGCACTGAGGGGCACTGCCTTTTGCCTCAAAAAACTTACCTCTGTGGAGAGAGAGGGAGGGATTTAAAATAAAATGTGATTTAAAATGAAGCAAGAAGGGATACCTTAGATATCCTAACATCACCTGAGATTGTCTTTTTCTATGCATTCATTCTTTTGTTGCTTTAGTGCTGTGCTGGTGCTAGAGGGGGAGCTAAAGGCACTGCTGAGCTGAGGGCCAGGTTCATGTGCCTTCATGAGACTCAAAAAAATAATTGGAACCAGTCTAATGTATGTACCGAGACCCCAAAAATGTAACCACCAGAAAGAATGGGGGCTGGAGGTTAGCTCGAGTTTGCAAGCAATTCCCTGCAGCAATCTTATGTATCCAAGTTTGCTGTATCCACCCTGGCATTAGCTCTGCTGGCCTCCGCCAGCAGGAGCATTGTCTGCTTCAGCATTTCTCCATAAAAGTGATGCAAGCTTTGTAAGATGGGGGATGTTATTTATTAGACCACCTGATAAATCTGAAAAAAGTGAAAATCACATCAGGTACTCAAGCCCCTGAGGAAGGTCTTGGGTAGCTAAACTGGGGTTGTGTGTTCCAGCTCTACTAGCTGGGCTCATAATAGCCAAGCTCTTTTGCATATTCCTTCTGGGTGGCTGAGACAACAGCCCTTGTGTTGCCAGCAGAAGCATGTGCCAGCTGATACCCGAGTCTAAGAAACACCATTTAAGGGCAGTTCTAAGCTTTGAAATTGCAGCCGCCTTGTCTAAGGTAAGCCAAGCATGTGTGGATTCCCAGCTCTGCAAAAAAGTGTCTCCCACCATCAGGCTTATATAGGTGTAATTGTATTTATACCAAATGCATTTGTGATCTTGTTGATTGAGTGCTTTTAAATGTAGAATTCTATTTGATATGCAAAATGATGGGTGCTTTGGTAGGTAAAAATGCTACTATATTGATGTGGGAGCAATGTCAATGCTCTAAAGCTAATCTTCAATTATACAAAAAATAGTCTACTCTAGTCATTTAACCTGGTGTGCTGCATGATACAAAACAGAGGGTTTTCCCAAATTAATTCCTATTTGAATCAGAGCCTGCCATCCAAAAAAACCCCCAAAAACAACAAACAAACAACAAAAAAAACCCTAACAAAAAACAACACAAAAACCAAACCAAAACAAAAAAAAACAAAACAAAAACCAAACCAAAAAAAAAAAACAAACCTGCAGGCTTTTCTCATCTCTGTGAATCCTTGTGTAAATATCAGGTTTTGCAGCTGCTTACATATGAGACAAGTGTTCTTAGTTCAACACTCTGGGCATGCACCAATCCAAGACTTATATTTTCACACTGTTTGCTCAGAGAAGCTCAGAAGCCCTATAATTTCTAGTCTGATGGGCTGGATGAGCAGGGAAGTGGGATTTCATCAGCATACTTTATTTGTTTTCAGTGTAGTTCCTGGTGTCTGCCTGCAGCAGTTCTGATTATGTGTGTGCAACACCGATGCTCTGTGTATGAAGTGGGAACCCCTTTGGCTAGAAGTTAGTGGACACGGACTGGCCTGAAGAGAAAAGATGCCTGCAGGAAAAAGAAATAGAATAACACTTCTATTCTGTAAAAACATGCAGGTAAATTTAGTTAAATGTGTTTTCCCCGCTCTGTCACAAGACCTTCCCTTGTGTCTCTGAGCTGTGTCTGTCTCCCTGTTGGTTGGCTCAGAAAGCTTGCTCTGTGAAGAGCAGGAGGGGTGCCATTGCCAGCTCCTCCTGGGCTGGGTCAGAGCTGCTTGCACTTGGTTTTTATGAATGCAAAAGCAAAAGCAGGAATGTATAGAGGACCTTCCACAGCATTTCCAGCTACTGTGTAATGTAGCAGCATGGAGGCTTTGATACTGCCTTTGGTTGCAAGTACAGGGGACTGTCCATGCTTCTCATACAGCTGTGGGCTGGTCAGGAGATGCTCTCTCTTGACTGCAAGGCTTGGCACAAGTAGTGAGACAATGCTGGAGCATGACACAGTCTGTTTTTTCTGCTGTCTTGCTAAGACTGCACCATTTGATCAAAGGTGTATTTGACTTGGCTCTTTTCTCCTATGCCTACCCTTTCCAGCTTCCTCCCCGAGGAGAGCTGGGAGATCTGTTGCATCTCTGCCCTGCTTCCAACTTGGACAACACCAGCTGCTGCCAAAGGCCAGAATTGAAGGGTCCTGTGCCACTTAAAGCTGCTCTTGAGAGCTGGCATTGCTAATGCATTTCCACGGCTCCTCCCTGGATCCTCGGCTGTTCCCCTGGCAGTGAGAAACCCTGAGAATTAAATACCGTGAAAAAGCGTTGTTGAAAATGTTCAAGAGAAACTGCATTTCAAGAGAAAATGCATTTGAAAATGTCAGCATACTGTAAAAGAAGATGAAAAAAATGGTGCGAATATATGTTGCTTTACTGTCAAAAACTGAGCAGCCCAAACCTGTCCTGAGTTGCCAAAAATAAAAAACTTTATTTTTTGACTTGAATATTTCGGTATTCAGATATTTTTCCTGAAAATTCCATTTTTGCTATGGACTAGAAAGCAAACTATTGGTTTTTTTTGACCCGGTTGAAATCTACTTTTACCTCCTCCCTCCTGAGATTCCAAAAAATGCTGGGAGAGGATAGGGGCATGAGAGCTGTATCTGCTGGGTACTGCTCAGACTGTGGATAAGGGATGCCCAGGCATGAAAGATACAATTTGTCCACTGCTCCCTGCCCACAGGCTCAGGAGTAATGTGAAAGAGGGCTCTGAGCCCCACTACAGCCTTAAACTTCATACCAGTCAGAGATCCTGCTGATGCTGCCTGGGTTTTTCCAGCTGTGTGGATGGGGCTCATAAAAGACATGCCAACCTGCCAACATATTAATCCTGAGACCATCTCACTCAGGGAGCTCTGCTGTGCCAGCACTGAATTTTGTCACAACACTGCTCAGGTTATCTTCTTATCTCAGCATGGAGAGAGCAGGAGACTCGTGAGAGTACTGAGTTGGTAGAAAGGAAGAACTTTCTTACATGTCTTCTGAGCAGTGGTGATGGAGCTCATGGCAAACCTGCCTCCCTGTCTTCTCCTCTCTCCAATACTATATATCTGATTCCAGCATCATTCTATCATGCTTCCCCCAGGCTCCTGATGAGGTCCCTCAGCCACACACATACTGCTGTCCCTACTGCTGACACACTCATGGTGGGAGGAACAGTAGCTCTGTTCCAGGAGACCTCTCCAATAAAAGGATCTGCTGCTGGCAAGGGAGGTAGAAGGACCTCTGCACAGTTGTAGATGGTAGGAGTGGGAGCCACACACCATGTAAGCACTAGACAGAATAAATAATAAAAAATAAGTAAATAAATACCATAATATGGCACACCCCAGAGTGCTAGCAGGGGTTCCTTGTCCAGGACAAAGCACCTCTGTTCTCACTCCCACAGGAGCATTGGATGAGACTCTGGTCAAGATCAGTAAATCAGAAGTATGACACTCCTGGATCACCAAGAGGGGCAATTAAGGATTTAGCCTTGAGATTATCACCAGGACACCTTCACAAAACCTTTAAAAAAGCTTTGAAGGAGGCTCCTTTAGGGCTCAGACAATTCTGTGATTCTGGATTGAAGTTTGTTACTTCTAAATGTGCTTACCATCACTCAAGGCATCCTCACTGAGTTTTGTGCATTGACACCTCTCTTCTAGGGAGTAGTCTGAGAGCTTTTTTGGCACTGTCTAGAGAAAAGAGGCATGGGTAACCTAAAACAAGGGGAGTAGGCCACTGTCTCATTTTACTCCAGCCAAACAGCTTCCAGAAGGAAATGGCAGTGATAGTTCCATTACTCCCCTACTGCTGTTGGCAGCCTGGGCTAGATTTGAACAACTGACAACTGATCCTCTGTCAACCCCCCAGATCACCCATTCTCCATTTTACCTAGAGTTTTGCATCCAGTAGCCATGCAGCAGCTAAAATACTGATTATTATTTTTATGTCGTTATATTGTTGAACCTCACATGATGTCATGAGATTTGTTTGTCTATATTTATATGTATTTAATTGTAACTTCTCTCTCTTTGAATAGACAAGCATTCAAAATACTGGGAATGTTTGTAAGTTCCTAATTTTTTAATGAATCTGGAAAAAAGAAGATAAAAAATTAAAAATGTATAAACCATTTAAAAGTAGGAGTAAATAAAATAAATAATAAAATAAATTATTGTCTCTCTCACATTACCCACAGCCTAGGCTAAGATGAAATCTTTTTAGTACAGCAGGCACATCTTGAAAACATACCATTTTTGCTAACCATCTGAATTCTTCTGACTTTAGTAGCTCTGTGGTTGGAAGCACTCAAAGTCTAGACACAAGTACTAATACTTCAGAACAAAAGTGAATATTCATTTATTACAGAAATTGTACATCTTTCAAACTTTTCATTACATTATCATGACTGTATCAAAAACGGCTTGTTGAAATGCAATTTTAGCTCATCAACCTTTGCATGTGATCTTATTTGTCAGTAATTCTGTATAATAAATTCTGCTAACTATGTGAATGTACAGCTATATATATGCTCAAAAGGGCCACAGTTTCTCAGCAGAGAACATTTTGCATGAAAATGCAGTTATTGTTTTGGAAGTGAGAGTAATAAAAGCAAAGGATGTTAGGTAATGAGAAGATTCTGGGAGAGCAGGAGGAGCAGGGGCTACCTGGGCAGTGGCTGGGCTTGCCCATGTCCTGTCCCAGTATAATCCCCCCACTTTCAGTTTCAGCAACTCAGCTCTTTTAGCAAAGAAAATGGCAGAAATGTTCCTTAACATGCAACAAACAGAAAGTGGCAACTGATAAATACTTGTCTTTCCTGTTTCCCTCCCTCCCTCCCTTCTAATTCTGCAAACATAATTATGGAAGTCACAAATGAAAAACACTGTTGTCCTTTCCTGTTCTTCCTCTCCCTTAAGGCCACATCACCCCCATGATCTGTCCATGGTCAGTACTTTAGAAAATCAGTTTGACTCCTTCTTCCCTCCCTGCAGGTGCTGTGAGTCATTTGTCTGAGCATGGCTCTGGAGGACAAAAATGCTCTGCTTAGTGCTCAGTGAGGTATTTTGCTCCACACTCACTGCAATATTTTGAATCACATATTGGCCTTGGGTTTAAAACCTACTGGTTTTGAAGGGCCATACATGTGAGTAACTGTGCAGGAACTCAGTGGGCTTGTATCTTTAAAAATAGGTATTTTGATGTAAGAGGTGACAATTGGAGAAGAGACAAACAAAGCAGAGAAACCATATTATCAAAATGATAAATGGACAATATGCACCAGTGTCCCAATATCCTCTCCAGTTTCTCAATTCATGACTCTTCAATCCTTTGTAAATGAAGGCACATTTTCATCTCTGCTTCCAAAATATTATCAAAGGGTTATTTAAAAAGTTATATGCTGTTTTATCTGTATTAATCTTCTAGTACAAGTCTGGAAATATTCCTACTGGCATAGAAGGATTTTGATTCAAAGTCTGTCTTGATTACATAGTGGGCAATCCGCTCCTTTCTGGCTGACCTTATTAACCATGATTGATGCCTAGGAGGTAAAATGCTTATCGTGCTCAAGAAAAAACCTGAAGCATTGCTATACCAAATAACAGGAGTCATAAGCTTATCCTCCAAGGCAGGATTTCAAATCAAGACAAAACATGCTGTGTTCTTTCAGTTCCACTTGATGGACTTTCAGGTTTGTGTTTGTTTCACATGATGTTGTTTATTTTTAATGATGAGAATTAGCAATGCACAAATGAAAGTGAAAAATCTGTGATTCCAGTAGGTGGGACTTTACTATCCATCACAAAGACACGGCAAAGTAATCTGGTACAGCCCATCACCAGTTCCAGTCTCCTGCCAGAAGTCCACAGGAACTCACAGATTACAGGGCTTCTCCAGAACTTGACTTGATTGGAAAACCACCAGCATTCAGCTGATTGAGTTGTATACTTGGTTACATGGTTTGTCAGGGAAAAAAAATTCTTTCTCTTGTCTTTCTCAATTTGCAAGTAACTTTTAAAAATTGAGAATCCCAGAATCTGTTGCTCAATAGTTCTAGAATTTGCCCGTTGAGCTTTAATAACTAGCAGCAATTTGAACAAAACCGAAAGTAAGTTCAGGAGCTATACTGAATAGGATAGCCCAGCACTGCCTTCAGTCTCACAGCAATTTGAATAAAACTGAAAGTTCAGGAGCTATACTGAATAGGATAGCCCAGCACTGCCTTCAGTCTCAGATATTCACAGCCATAAGGCAGAACTGTAAGAAAGCCATGATTAACTTAAATATCACTCCTATTTCCAAAAAGTCAGGTTTATACTCTGTCCTATGTGCAGCCATTAGCATGTAATAACATAGAGACCTATATTCCCTTATCAAACTGAGTTGTTCATCTGCTTTTCATCTTCTGCAGCATGAGGTGGCTGTGTGTACACAGTCACAGGTGTACGTGCACGCTCTGGTTTGGATCTGACACTTCCTCTTTCATCCCATCCATTCCAAGTGAGGCAGTGATGAGTGGTTTGTATCTCTGAAGTCCATTTGCCTTAGTTGCTCCTTGTCATTTCCTAGCAGGATTTGTCTGTGTATGTGAAGGCACAGCTGGAGAGGGGTGATGTTTGTCCTTTTTTTTCCTACAGCTGCTCTGTGTGTGTCAAAGCTGTCAAGGAGGCTTCTTGGTCACAATGAGGAGCAGTAGAGGACTGTGACCTTGGAGCCTTCTCAGGACACAAATCGGCTCCCTGGTTTTAATTTGGTACTTCCTGGGGTTTTCGATGTATAATTATTTTCCGTTTTTGCTTCTTGGAAAATAAATTAATGCGAAATGGGGAACTGAGAAGAAAAGCTGAGTGTCTTGGGTTAATAAGAAGAGGCAGGAAAAGAGCAGAGAAAAGTCCACAGCTAGGGAAGGTGCTAGAGATTAAATGAACCAAAGTTAAACCTGGCTCAAAGTTTGCAGCAAAGGAGCAGCAGTAGATGAGGAAAGGCCAATATCAGAGGAAAAAGTGGTGTTTATACAGAGGCTGTGAAACCAAGGGCAGGTACTAATAGACTTCTTTCAATCTGTATTACACCATAGCTCTCATTCAACTACAGCATAAAAAAGCACTGAAAGCTGAATTTAAAATGTACTTTTCTAGACTGATTTAATAAAAACTCACATTCCAGATATGACTGGCAGTCAATTTACCAACAGAATAAGGGTTAGGTCCTCTAAGTAGAGCACATCTTACCGTGTAAATTTCTACCTCTTTTTGTTAGAGTTGTGCTGTCAAAATGATACCTGCGTATTTCCTAAAATGAGCTAAATGTAGCTTGAGGATTACACCTGTCTTTGCCAATTTCTATCATTAAACAATTTCCTGTCTCCAGTTTTGTGCTTTATTTCCTGCTGATGTCTAAAGGATGCACACTGACAGCTGAA